ATCTAGAGTAAGAAAAATAAAGCCATTTAAACCAGTTCTTGTATTTTTTTGGTTTTGTTACAATTCTCCTTCAAGAAAAAAGAGAGACAGCTATATATGTTGCATCTCGTTACCTGTGCATTTAGTCCCATTTCCTTTGAATCCATCTTTACACGTGCACTTGTAAGATCCCAGGGTGTTGTTACACTCAGCATTCACATCACAGCCGTGAGTACCTTCACTACATTCGTTGGAGTCTTGAACACAAAAAGGCGGGCATATCATGTATATGAGACCCTTTTTTTAGTACCCTCAGATAAAAAAGATAAAAGACGGAGTCTCAAAATGTTACATTAGTAGTTATTAAATCACCTGAGCAATTAGTTCCATTTCCATGAAATCCATCTTCACACGTGCAGTTGTAAGATCCCAAGGTACTGTTACACTCAGCATACACATCACATGGGTGTATTCTGTCGACACACTCGTCTATGTCTAGAATAAAAAAAAGAGGACCATCTAGATCACTTATATTACTTCACAATCTACTTTTGATGAAAGTCACCACAGAAAATGTGAGGACTAGTTACCCGTGCAGTTAGTACCATTTCCATAAAATCCATCTTTACACGTGCACTTGTGAGACCCCGGGGTATTGTCACACTCAGCATTCATATCACAGCTGTGTGTTCTGTCAGAACACTCATCGTTATCTGCATCAACAAAAGAAAGTTTATTATTGTATAATAACATAGGTATTATTATAAAAACAGACCACATTATATCTTACAACAAGTCACCCGCGCAGTTAGTTCCATTTCCATGAAATCCATCTTTACACGTGCAGTTGTAAGATCCCAGTGTATTGTTGCACTCAGCATTCACATCACAGTCGTGTGTTCTGTCAGCGCACTCATCTATGTCTAGAACAAGAGAAGCAAGAGCATACAAATTCTGCTTCTAATGGAGAGAAAATGACATGACATGTTACCTGTGCAGTTAGTTCCATTTCCTTTGAATCCATCTGTACACGTGCAGTTGTAAGATCCCAGTGTATTGTTGCACTCAGCATTCACATCACAGTCGTGCGTTCTGTCACCACACTCATCTATGTCTAGAGCAAGAGAAGCAAGAGCGTACAAATTCAGTTGTGTTGTTTCTGCTTCTAATGGAGAGAAAATGAGATGACATGTTACCTGTGCAGTTACTTCCATTTCCTTGAAATCCATCTTTACACGTGCAGTTGTAATATCCCAGAGTATTCTTACACTCAGCATTCACATCACAGTCGTGCGTTCTGTCACCACACTCATCTACGTCTAGAACAAGAGAAGCAAGAGCATACAAATTCACTTGTGTTGTTTCTGCTTCTAATGGAGAGAAAATGAGATGACATGTTACCTGTGCAGTTAGTTCCATTTCTATGAAATCCATCTTTACACGCGCAGTTGTAAGATCCCAGTGTATTCTTACACTCAGCATTCACATCACAGTCGTGCGTTCTGTCACCACACTCATCTATGTCTAAAACAAGAGAAGCAAGAGCATACAAATTCACTTGTGTTATTTCTTCTTCTGATGGAGAGAAAATGAGATGACATTTTACCTGTGCAGTTAGTTCCATTTCCTTGAAATCCATTTTTACACGTGCAGTTGTAAGATCCCTGAGTATTGTTACACTCAGTATTTATATCACATCCGTTTGTTTCATTCAAACACTCATGTGTGTTTGAAACAACAAAATGACTATCATTTGTATACCAAGGTTTTTTTTAATTGTGCTGGCTGAAGTGTTTTGGCTTTCATGCTTAGAATACTTACCAGTACAATTTATATTATTTCGATAGTATCCTTCGTTACATCTGCACCTGTACGATCCGATTATGTCATTGCATGTCGCATTACTTCCACAGCCATGTTTACCAGTCGAACACTCGTCTATGTCTGGAAGAAGAAAGTGATGAACATCATAGATAGATGGCTCCTTTTAGAAGATTTAAAAAGCTTTTCATTACGTTATATCTTTTTTTGATAATGGGGTCATGTCTGAATTTTGGTGTAAAGTTTACTTCAATAAAAAGAAACTGAGAAACTACAAGTGGCCTAGATGTTGACAGGAGACACAACGAAAAAATGTATCGAGAGCATGGGGGAAAAAAAGGTCATGAACCCGCATCCAGTCGCCCTTTTCTTAATCAGATAGCTTATGCTATCCGTGATCATTTTCACCGTAAACCTTAAAAGACAAAAGCTCTCAGCTATGATATTCTGTGACTATTAAAACTGTTGAGGTTCTAGCGATTGTTTGACACTCATCCCTTTCAAATAAGTCTGCCCAATCACCGAAACGAATTTCAACTTGGGGGAGGAGAGTGTGGAACTCGTCACTTATATTCAATGTTTCTGCCCTAATAAAAGTATGAGATTCCTTACCCTCATCACAATCATGGCCTTCAAATCCAGATCCATCAACACACAAACACTGATAATCTCTGTCTGTAAACCCAGCTTGGCATGTTGCGTTATTCTTGCAGGGATTTTCCGCGCAAGCATTCTTAAGGAGAAAAGGAAGAGAGAAACTTAAAATGGTATTTCGGCAGGCATGACAGGTTCCTCGCGTCTGTTCATTTATTCCCGTCGCAAGAAGGGAATTTTAAAGGAAAGGAGAGGTGGGTGAATCCTTTGGTCTCGTATCAAAGCTTTCCCGTGGTACAGAATTAGAATTGCCTAGTGGTTATTACCTTGTCAGTATGTAACAATTG